AGACTCTAAAACATAATGTTAGCAAATACATAATTTTATCTCTTGTTACTGATAGTTTGTGAACAGACCCAGTGAAAGGAAATGCTGCCATGGTAACATAACCAGACTGTTATTTGGAGACCTTACTCAAGATAATACTTAACTGCCCTGAACGGCAGGTTTTCAGTACCAGTTCTTCCAATTTACTACTTCAAGGAAATAGCAATTCTACTATGGTCAAAACAATTTGTAATTCACATGATAGGATTTAAAAAGTAGACTATTGAACCAAACAGTTTCTAGGAGTGTAATCTCAGGAATACCAAGATAGAACATGGCTAGAATCGTTAAAATAATTGTCTTAATCAATATATGAAAAATAATTCATACATATCTTTTCTGTATGAAACTGAAGTGGGTTGGGCAAAGGATGTTGTGGGTGCTAATGTTTTAAAGTTTTATTTCCCTATCGTTAAAAAACATCCCTTGGGCCAACTGACTGAAAACATATCTAATTTAAGTAATTTCATCCAAAAATACATTTGTAAAATTTGACTTCCTTTGAAAAACAAATCAAAATTTCAGATACTTACTTAGTATATAGTTCATGTGATATTTTGCTACTGAAGGCCAGAAAAAAGTTTCACCTAATAGTGTAGTATGTGTCTTTCTATATTACAGTATGATATGACAGCTATGGTTTTTCTTTTCCTATACATTTAGGTTGCTAGGATGTTAAAAACTGCGTACACTGATAGCATACTTTTTCTAAAACAAGGGCTATTTTCCCTTTAAATTTAGTTAATTCCTTGTTCTTTATTACCTTTTATCTCTTACTCAGAATTAATTGATTTTGTCCTTATTGTTGATTTTTTTCAGGACTCACAGGTAAAGGAGTAGGAATATACTGTTATTAAACCATATAAACTTGGGGCACCTGGGTGGCTCAGTCGGTTAAGCAGCCAACTCCTGATTCCGGCTCAGGTTCATAATATTGGTCCTGGGATCGAGCCCCACATCAGGCTGCCTGTTCAGTGGGGAGTCTGCTTCTCTCTCTCCTTCTGCCTCTCCTTGCTCGTGTTTTCTCTCACTCGCTCTCTCTGTCAAATAAATAAAATCTTAAAAAACAAAAAATGAACTCTAACTTTATGCCAATTTTAGAATAACCTCCAGAAATAAGTATTCATTTATTTTGCAGCTCTATATCACTTACACATAAATTACCTTTTTTTGTTTGTTTGTTTAAAGATTTTATTTATTTATTTGACAGAGAGAGAGAGCACACAAGCAGGGGGAGCGGCAGGGAGAGGGAGAAGCAGGCTCCCTGCTGAGCAAGAAGCCTGACGCAGGGCTCGATCCCAGGACTCTGGGATCATGACCTGAGCCGAAGGCAGACGCTTAACGACTGAGCCACCTGGGCGCCACATCATATAGGATTTTATATAAACAAAAAGGAACCAGGGGAATAGAACACACATAAATTTTATTGTTGTCCAAGTAATTCTTAATGTAATTGTGAAGTGTAATTCAGATTTTATGAAAGGGTTTTTTAAATAGAAAAGGTGTAATATAAAAACAAAAATTACCAGTTTGAATCTCACTAATCTTATGAGTTCTGAGGAAGTTTTGTACATCACATGGTGGGAGAGGGGGAAGGTTATACCTTATAGGTGGTTTTCAATATTTGTAGAGAAAAAGAAAAAAATCTTCAAAAATATTTGTTAAAATGTAATGCCAATATCTGGTGTAATAGATCTGGTGTAAAGATTTAAAATTTGCATGCTATTAGACTGGAGGAAACAGGAACAATTTTTGAAACTACAAAGAAAATGAACATATATCAACAGCAGTAGCCAGTGTTTATTGAGTGCTTATTGTCTGTCAGTGTTCTAAGCACTTTATGTGAATTAACTCTTATAATATAGTAATTCTTAAAGTGAAGTAGGTACTATTTTTTATATAGTTCTATTTTGAGCATACTAATATACAGGAAACATACCCATTTTTCTGAAGATTACACAGCTCTTAAGTGACAGAGCCAGGATTCCCAAGGAGACAAAATGGCTCCAAGGTTCACACTCTTAACCACTGTACAAGTAGTGTTTAGCTCTGGGGAAGTGAGATGAGATTGAATTTGGATCTCCTCCTTGCATGGCTGTGGAGTTCTGTATGTAGACTGTGTATGGATGTGGTACATGTGTAAGGATATACTTGTAGTCCAGCTTCTGTTCAAGATGTGCAGTTAGGGATGTTCAGCGAAGGAAGTAGAAGAGATTTATCCTGAAGGAAGAGTTAGCAGGTGATAGATAATCAATCACAGCTTCTAAAGTTCTTCATTTATTTCCTTTGACTACCTCAACTAGGGTGTGTAGCATATTGACGGTTTTTTAGTTCCATTTAGTTCCATTCTTTTCCTGATTTCTAGTTTAACAATTTATCAATTTTCATATAATATATTTACATTATATAACATTATATAATTTTCTCTCCCCCCCTTCTCCAGATATGATAAAAGCTTATTTCAGATATTTCAGTTGTTGTTTAAGAATGAAAGTGGCTAGGGTGCCTAGGTGGCTCAGTCGTTCAGGGTTTGCCTTCGGCTCAGGTCATGATCCCAGCCTCCTGGGATCAAGCCCCGCATCGGGCTCCTTGCTCAGCGGGGAAGCCTGCTTCTCCCTCTCCCACTCCCCCTGCTTGTGTTCCCTCTCTCGCGGTCTCTCTCTCTGTCAAAAAATAAATAAAAATCTTAAAAAAAAAAAAAAAGAATGAAAGTGGATAGGGGCACCTGGGTGACTCAGTTGGTTAAGTGTCTGATTCTTGGTTTCATCTCAGGTCAAGGTCTCAGGGTCGTAAGATTGAGCTACCAGTAGGGCTCCATGCCCAGTGTGGAGTCTGCTTGAGGTTCTCTCGCCCTCTGTCCCTCCACCTCATGTGCATGTACACTCTCTCTCTCAAATAAATAAATAAGTTTCTTTAAAAAAATGAATGAGGGGCACCTGGGTGGCTCAGTCAGTTAAACGGCTGCCTTCGGCTCTAGTCATGATTCCAGGGTCCCTGGATGGAGCCCTGCATCGGGCTCCCTGCTCAGCAGGGAGCCTGCTTCTCCCTCTCCTGCTCCCCCTGCTTGTGCTCGTGCTCTCTCTCTCTGTCAAATAAATAAATAAAATCTTTTTTAAAAAATGAATGAAAGTGGATATAAATTTGCCTTTGGCCACATTCTCTTAGTTTTCATATAACTGTTTATATGAAATTTATTTATTTACTAGATTTATGAATATATTTATTTACTAGATAATCTATCATTGTAGTTTGGATATCTTTTTAATCTAAGAGTATTATAAATTTCCAAGTGGTCAGAATTTTGTTGTTGTTGGGATTGTTAATTTTTTTTTTGCACTGGAGTCTTAAAATTGTGAACTTTAAGAGGGAATTTATTTTTCCTCCTGGCCTAATCAATGTAGTTTTTTCCATTAATATTTGGAAAGTATATTCTACAAGAATTCATTAATTACATCAGTTTTTCTCATAAGTGTTCCACAGAACACTAAATTCCTCAAATACTACCTGGGAGAAGGAGGTTCTGTGTCAGATAACTTTAGGAAACCATATAAAACAAGTATAATGATAGCAAGACTATTTAGATCCCTTAACCTGCTGGTATGTAGTGTGACCTTCTAAGAAGGAGGGAATTATCTCATAGCCTGGCCTTCTTCCCTGCATGTTAGATAATATTAGTGAGGTTTTTCATATATCTTGTCCACTTACCTTCCTATAAGCTGTTCCTTCATATTGAGGGAACTATGGATCACACAAGCCCTTCTTTCAGGCACCTCCCATTTGAAATTCAGCAGGCACTTTTGTTAATGGTTTCTCTGGTTTCTAGTAATCATAAAAATTCCATAATTTTTAGATTCTATTGATTATTTCAATGGAATCTGGGTTTGTGTGCTCATTGCCATATTACCTAAAAGTCACTCAAATTTAACTTAATCATCTTGAGGGAAGGGCTGATTCTTCCTTCCTCTCTGTTATCTTTTACAGGAGTCTTTTTCATACCTCAGTTGTTGATTTACCACTCTTTGAGACTTTTCCTGTGCTTTTTATGAAACCATTTGCTTTTTTTTTTTTTTTTTAAAGACTGTAGTTATTCGTATATAGAGAGAGCGGGGGCGTGAGCACAGGGAGGGGCAGAGGGAAAGGGAGAGAATCTCAAGCTGACTTGTGCTGAGTGCGGAGCCTAGTGCCGGACTCAATCCACAACCCTGACATCACACCCAAGCTGAAATCAAGAGTTGGTTGCTTAACTGACTGTACCACCCAAGAGCCCCTGAAATCATTTGCTTTTTAAATTTAAACTTGCTTTAAATGAGAACTTAAGTATTACTGTTAATGCCATTAAAAAATAAAAATTTTTTGCTGCATCACCTGATCTCATACTGCTTACCACTTTTGGGGAAATGATGCTGCATAGAAAGCTTAATTTTTCCTTTTCTTCCTGGTTTTTCTGTAACAGTAACAATAATGGCTTATATTTGTTACATCTTACCATATGGAGGACCACATTGTACAGCCCTCTATGCTGTTCACTGTTCATCTTGGGGTTGTACCATTCTCAGAGACTATGAAGTGATTGTCATGTCCTGTGGCCCTATGTGCCAGGCAACATGCAGAGTACTTTATGCATAATTTAATCCACATAACAGCCCTATGAGATAGGTAGTGTTATCATCCCTACCTTCCAAATGAAGGAATAATGGCCTGGAGAGATAGAGGTTGGTTAATTTTCCTAAGATCACACAACAGGTAAATGGCAGTGCTGGAGCTAAGAACCCAGGCAGCCTGCTCCCAGGGCTTTTGACCATACAATGCACTTAAAGCAAGCTTAATTCAACCTTTGCATTGTACTCAAAAGCATACTGTAGGATTTTTTTTCCCCCCACACACATTGGTGAAAACATTCAGGCACTGATTGTGTATGTCTTAAAGTTGCACATTAATAATTCTTGTGTATTTTATTTTAGGTCAATGGAAAAGGTTCCTTATGGTGTGTTGATCCAGAATATAAACCCAACCTTATGCAGGCACTGAAGAAGCAACCTTTTTCCTCAGCATTAACATTTTACACCCCTCCTGCATCTCCACAAAGGTACAGAATCTTCCATATAAGTGTCAATGGTGACATAAGATTTCGTTGTATGACATGGAAAAACCTAACAAAGTTGTAAGGTTTGGGGTTTTTTTTTATTGCATAGAGAATAACTTATGGATAAGACATTAGCCTAAGGCATTTTTACTTATAGTCAACTTGTGTTATTAGGAAACAGGATATTTGATAGGTGAGAACATAAATTCTGGAAAATACAGTCACTCCTGAGTATAAGTAAACCCTACAGAACGTTATAATAATGATTTCAGGTACAAAAGGTTTAAATTATTTTAATTGCCTGCAGTACTAATGCAGACTAAAGACATGGGAAATTAAAAGTATATTTAAGCTTTTTAAAATAAGATGCTTAGCAGTTTGTCATTGTAACATTTTTATGGATATATTTATATCTTTTTCTATTTTAAGTTTAGTTTTCTTTCACAACACATTTAATATTTGAAAATTATGCTCCTCAAGTTTTAAAATGTCTGACAAGTAAAATAATGCTTTGACTTTTTTATTTGTTTTGTTTCTGCTGGTAAATATAATTGTAATGTATTTCCTTGGCTCTTGTTTTCAAACTCAGTGACTCTTACTGATCTTACAGCTTTCCCATTTTAAGTCAAAGCTGAAAATGACACCTCAAATCTGATTTTGTTTCTGTTTCCTAAAGAAGCCTTCAGAATTTTTTTTTTTAAATTCTATTATGTACATTTGTTTGAATTGAAAATGCCAGATTTTGTTGAGATACTTTTGAGGGTGGCCTTATCATGGCTAATTTGTTTTTTAGAAAATTTTAAAAGCTTTTTAATAAAATGCTAGATGGAGAATTTCAAACATACACAAAAGGAGGGAGAAAACTATAATGAACTCTTCAGCTGCAACAATTATCAATATTTCCATACAATGTTTAATTTCTTAAATTATTATTAAATAACTTCAAGTGGAGTGGTTGTAGCTGAAATACAATAAAAAATTAGTAAGGCTAAAGTTGAAATTAGTAATATATATCTTCTCACTGAGATTTTAAGCTTGTTTACTAGTAGATTGGAAGGATTATTGTCACAAGAACGATTGAGTGGTTTATCTTTATTAAATGAAACCTAGAAAAGTTATCAGAGTTTATATCCTCATTGTTTGGGACTTGGTATCTTTATCAGTTAATGTTGGTGCTTATGAGGTATCCTAGTTTAAAAAAAAAACAATTTAGAAACTAATGGTAAGTTCTGTTTATGGTCATTTATGTGTTTTATTTAGCTATGCTTTTTTTAAATTAAAGATTAAATGAGAGAATTGACACTGTTGTATACCATTAGATATGCACTTCACTGTGCCTTTGATAGATTGCATTTTCATGATTTTATCTTTTAGCTTTATCATATGTTAAATAAAAATGATTTTGTGGTTTAAAAACAGATAAATGACAGCATAAAGATAATTTTTCACTTTAAAACATTACCTTAATATTTTTAGAAACATTTTTTCTTTTTCATTGTTTGGCAAATGATGGTTCCATCCAATAGATCTTTGTGTAGCCTTTTCATGTCATTATTGGTAAGTTGAGAAAAAGAATGAAATATAGTATATGTAAAACTATGAATGAGAAATAGACTTACAATTTAGTTAGCAAAACAGATTTTTTTATGGTATCACAAATTCCAAAGAACAGAAGTAGTGTGTCCCAAAAATGATTTAGTTTTTGGAATTTAAAAAAAAAAAGAAGCCAAAACTGGGATGTCTGGCTGGCTCAGTCAGAAGAGCATGTGACTCTTGATCTTGGGGTTGTAAATTCAAGCCCCATGCTGGGTGTAGAGATTGCTTAAAAATAAGATCTTTAAAAAAAAAAAAAAAACAGAACTCCTAATCTCTTTATGACTGTAGCAAGTTTAATTTGACATTAATATTTCTTAATAAAATCAGGAACTTATCTGTTTTGCATCATTACCATACAGTTCTCTTCACACATTTGTTTCGATAAACGCTTTCATTTCTGTGGTAACACCTATATGAATATCATATCAAATTTAAGCATCCAATACAAAACCAAATAGTAACTATTATGTATTGTCTATTGTTACAGGCATTTTAAATGCATTATTATTATTCATCACAGCAGCCCTATGTGGGAGGTTTAATTATTCCTATTTTACAGATGAAGAAACTAAGAAATTAATTATTTTGCCTAAGATCGTCCAAATAGTTGTGATTTAATCTTGGATCTAATGCTCTTTCTGCTTTGGCAGACTCTTCTAAACTGAATAGTATTAGCAAAGAAAACAAGGTAAAAATAGTTTGTGTTTTTTATTGTATAAATTAGTTGTATTTGTGACTAAGTTCTATAAAAAGTGAAATGAAGGTTTTTATAAGCATATTTATCTTATCTTTATTTTTCAGTGGCTCTTTATCACCTCATTTCTTAAGCTCTGTACTCAAGCAGAACCAGGTGCGAACCCTTAAAGGTATGTGTGTAAGAACATTACTTTAAATCATAACAGCTCAGGTCAAATATCAGGATTTTTTGTTTATTTAATTTTTTTCTGATTATAAAAGTATTACATGTTCATTGTAGAAGATGTGGAAAATAAAAACATTTCTAAAAAGAAACTAAATTTTAAGAAACAAAACTGATGGGGTGCCTGGGTGGCTCAGTTGGTTAAGCGGCTGCCTTCGGCTCAGGTCATGATCCCAGGGTCCTGGGATCAACCCCCACGTCGAGCTCCCTGCTCAGTGGAGAGTCTGCTTCTCCCTCTCCCTCTGCCTGCCTCTCTGCCTACTTGTGCTATCTCTCTGTCAAATAAATATATAAAATCTTTAAAAAAAAAAAAAAAGAAAACTGATGAACATAGGGGAAGGGAGGGAAAAATAAAATAGGATAAAGAGAGCAGACAAACCCTAAATGACTCCTAGCTATAGAGAACAAACTGAGGGTTGCTGGAGGGGAGGTTAGTTGGGGGTTGGGGAAATGGAGTGATGGGTATTAAAGAGGGCACTTGATATGATGAGCACTGGGTGTTAAATGTAAGTGATGTATCACTAAATTCTAACCTGAAATTAATGATACACTGTATGTTAACTAACTTGAATTTAAATAAAACAAAAAAAAAGAAACTAAAACTTACTCTTTATTATCGTCAACATTTTGTTTTAATTACTTTGGTTCTTTTTACTCCTTATACACGAGTAGATATGTCTGCATGCATACACACACACACACTTTTTCTCCAAATGTTAGGCTCATACTGTGTATACTGTTGTATATCCCTTTTTTTTTTCATTTCCTCTTACGTGTATTTCCCCTTGAAAATAGGAAAATATTTCTTAGTAATACTATCAGTATAGAGTTCGCTTTTCAAGTCTTAGACTAGAATAGAGATTGGCAAACTAGGCCTTGGGACATATCTGGCCTGCCATGTGTTTTTACATGGCCTGTGAGTTTATATTATAAATAGTTGAAAAATTAATAAAAAAAATATTTCAAGGCATGTGAAAATTCACTATAAGAACAGAGTTAAGTAGTTGCAACAGAGATCTCTGTATTGTATCCTTGGTTATGCCTCTTCTCTGGCAAAACCTAAAATATTTATTGACCCTCTTCAGAGGAAGTTTGGATTAGAATATAGTTTAGAATATTTCTTTTATAGGTTAAGTGTAAAGAACTTTAAGAAGACAGCAAGTTAACTTTCAGAATTCTGTAGATGACTTTTCTAAAGTACATAAAAATTCTGAATTAGTAGTTTTTGCCCCCTACTCATAGTTAATATTATAAATTAGTGATGTATTACCATGAGGTTTTCTAGCATTGTCACTTTCAGGCCTAGAAACATTTCTGTGACTTTTAAAAACAGAAATCCGCAGACCAGAAGTCTTTTCTGTGTATCAGACACATTTTGGCTCTTTGAAACTACACTAAGCCAAGCCTAGGAAGCAGTGTGATGATGGTCTGTAAAAATGAGAGAGGGAAAGGGTGTGAAAAGCTGAAGAGAATTCTGCGAAGAAGTTAAGAGGATTGAGGGTATGTTCAGATAATGTTCTGGCTTAACATAATGCAAGTATCCATTTTCTCCTTCCTGCATGGGTAGATGTGGTTTCTCTTTACATTTAGGCATTGCAGAAACTGCATATTTTTATTATCTCAATAAGTTCTGACCTTTAGTCTTTCAAGCTCAGTTCATATACAGATTTTGAGAACATTTTCTTTGTGAATTCTGGGTTTATTTAGAATCTCTTCTTGCTCTTATTCCATTCTATCCTAATTCTGCTGCTTCTTTTGGGGAGCAGACACTTGCACAATTTTCTCCTGCTAGTTTTATTTTTTTTTTTAAGATTTTATTTATTTATTTGAGAGAGAGTGAGCAAGCTGCAGGGGGTGGGGCAGAGGGAGAGGGAGAAGCCAACTCCCTGAAGAGCAGGGAGCATGACACGGGGCTTGATCCTGGGACTCCAGGATCAAGATCTGAGCCAAAGGCAGATGCTTAACTGACTTAGCCACCCAAGCACCCCTCTCCTAGTTTTAGCCGCAATTTTTCATAACTAGAGCATAGCACTTCTCCTTCATCTAATGACTTAGACATATGGTGCATCATCTCTCCAGTGCTGCTAATAGCTTACTTCCCTCCTTCTCTGTACTGGTGAGTCTTAGGCTTGATGGCAAGGGGCCTTGGAGTTCCAGGTTAAAACAAATGCAGGCCTGGGGCGGCTGGGTGGCTCAGTCGTTAAGCGTCTGCCTTTGGCTCAGGTCATGATCCCAGGGTCCTGGGATTGAGCCCCGCATCGGGCTGCCCCCTCAGCGGGAGCCTGCTTCTCCCTCTCCCACTCCCCCGCTTGTGTTCCCTCTCTTGCTGTGTCTCTCTCTGTCAAATAAATAAATAAAATCTTTAAAAAAAACCCAAAAAACAAATGCAGGCCTGTCCTGGAATAGAATATACAGTTCTTACGAGTTTTAGAGGAAAACATAAGACCATACAAAAACTTAAGAAAATTTATATTTAAATCAGGTTGCTTTAGGGCCTATTGATAGATTTACGAGGAAATTTGCTTTTTCTTCTCTCGATATTATTTCTAGAGAAAAGTTTGAAAAAAACACAGCACTAAATGGACTAAACAATCAACTGTTTATTCTACAAGTAATTGTTGAATTCCCACATGGTGCCAAGTAATGTATGGGTGCTTTGGGATATGCAGAGATGAAAGAGACCAAGGCCCTGCTCTCAAAAACTGTACAGTTTAATTGAAGAAGGTTGAGAAGATTATGCAGAGTACATTGGGGAAAAAGGAAGTAAGTGGCAAAGTAAGCTTAGAGGTAGATCAGAAAAGGCCCCTTAGAAAAGAAAGTGGTGCTTGACCTGGACCTCAGAAGTTGGGGAAATACTTGACCTTGTTGGAGGGTATCTGCTAGGAACTGCAGGCCAGTGAGTATGGCTGAAGCCTAGGATTATAGAAGAGGATTCGGCAGCCTTGGTCCAGTAGCTGTAGATGTGGTCATTTAGCATGGGCAAGCCAAATGAAGAAGTTTAAGCGAGCATTAACCAAATCAAGAAGAACTTATTTAGTGTAATGAGTTTGAACTCCTATAATTATAACATTAGCATTGGGTTCCTTACTACGGTGCTTTAAGTGCATTATCTCATTTAATCCTTACAAGTCTTTGAGGTATTCTTACCTAATAAGGAAACTGAAGTTTGGAGAGATTAAGTAACTTTCTCATGGCCACATCACTAGTAAAAGGCATACAAGGAACTCAGAAACTCTGATTTCAGAACCTGCACTCCTACTAAGTATGAGGCATTGAGGGAGCTGCTGAAGGGCTTTAAAGAATGAGGCAACATTGTCTGTTCTGTGTTTTATTAAGGTCCCTTAGGTGTCATTGAGTTCCAGTATTAGAATCCAGTATTAGATTCATCTATCACTTCACAGAATCATCTTTACTAATCATTGTAATAGAGCTACCTTCAAACACATAAGAGCAATAGGAGAACTTACTTAGGCGGAGAAACTCCAGAAATAGTCACTATCACCCAAAGTGGGTGCAGCAGTTTTAAAGTATAGTTGTCTCTCTTGCTCACCTTACAATGACTAATTTTCTGTGCCAATATATATGTTACAGTATTGTATAACAGAGGGCAGGAGGCACAGGAATCTCATACTGAGATAGCAAAACAAAATCTTTTTTGTCAGTATTTTGGTTTGGTGTGGATTTAGAATAAATTCATCTGCTTAAGAAATATTTATTGAACATACTTGTGTGCTAGGCACAAGGATACATCAGTGAACAAAATGACAAAAATGGAACTCACATTCTAGTTACTGAATTACAGTATTTATACTGAAGCACTAGTATACTACAAGCAAATATAAATGTTAGACAGTTAATGATGATGTTAGGGGCTAAGTGCAAATCTAGGTTCAAATTTAAGATTCCAAATTAGCATAATTTGTATCTTAATAGAAATTAAACTAAACCAGTGGTCCAAACAGCTTAAACTATTGGCAGTGTATCAAAATTGCTCTCCTCTATTAAAGAATCACAAGAGACAGCTTCTCTGTTTGGATGCTCTGTAAATGTGTATGTTAGCTTTGATAGATGTAATAAGTCCTTATAGTTATTACTGAGCTTATAACAATTTAAATTCTGCCTCTATGGTTCTCATATCATTCCTTAAGCAAATGGATTGAAAATCAGATAACAGAAATGTGTCAGTTTGTGTCATAACCCTCAGTTTCACATAGCTGAACCTAGTGTCTTAGGGTTTTTTTCTCAATTATTGTTAGTAATTTCCCAGCATCAGGGCTAAGGAAATATAAACCAGGACATACAAATTAACACTTATGACAGAAATTTATTTGAATCAATTATTAAATCAGTAGCATGTTTTGAACTCCAGTCAGAACTATGAAGGAAAAAAAGAGACATAATATGACTTTGAACTAAGTGGGTTTTTTAAATCACTATTTGGGTGGATCTCATGACTCTTAATGACAAATGAATTTCAACTAGAAGTGAATTATTTGCTTAAACTAAATAGTGTCAGAGAAAATATATACAAAAGACCCAAATTTTTATTCTTTATGAACTGGATATGGTGGTAACCTAGCTAATAGTATGTTTTTAAAAACACAGAGCTACATTTTAAATAGCTAAGGTATTATCAGTGAAAAAATAACATGAAGTGTCATCAATTGTGACAATAAACAAGTAAGTCTTCAGTTTAATTTTAATACTAAAACAGATGGGGTACTCTAAATAAAAATTGTAAAGTCTACACAGAGAGTTTTTGTTGTATTTGTTCTAAGAAGTTCAAGATTGTACCTTGGTCAAATGATCGATAATAAGGTATTCTTGATTACTGAGTGTTTGGGGTCATTTCTCTTGCAGTTAGACATTTTTCTAGAGCTAATTGGCAAGGTATGGGAAGCATACTTAAAATGTTTGAAACCAAACAAATTACATATAGATAAAATTCTTTTGCAGGGAGGCTTTCGGTTTCATAAAGTTAATTTCATGTGGGAGAGTTCAAATTAATTTGGTTATAATAAATCTATACAAGAAATAAATGTGTTTAAGGTACACTTTTCCTGTCCTTCTACTGTTACAAAAATAGTACCTAATTTTATCATTTTAAATATTTGGAAACTAAGAAGAGAAGTGGTGTTCATGCAGCTTTCTTATGTTGTCAGGATAAGCCTCACCAATTTTCTTTAGTTTTAGGTATTGTTTTTAAGAAATATGACTCCTTGAATTCTAATGAAAGTTTACTATAGGAAGTTAAGCTAGAGATACACTAACTTTTTTGATAAGATTTTATAGGTACTTCATTTATAAGATTATAAATTTTCTGAAATTTTTTCCTAATTATGCTTTTCAGTGTTAGATTCTCCCTCACCATCACCTCCTTTTTTTTTTTTTTAATGAAATTGGAAACAAGGTAGACCTTTTTTTATTAAAAGAAAAATTATTTCATGGAACAGGAAACTCTCTGTCAGGGCTTTTGCATAATGCCAATCAAGATTTGCCCTGCACAGGGCCACTTGGCTGAGGCAGTGAGTGGGGTCTGAAATTCAGCCCACGCTCCAGTCTTCAAGCTGTGTGCCTTCGTACAGGGAAGCATTCACCTGGAGGCAGACTTGCTTTTTTTCAGTTCACACAGAGATACAATATGGGCTAGAGTCTGAATCTTTTCTTCTTCAAAGACATGTTAGAATACTGAACTCTATCAAATTATAGTCAGGTCTCATTCTAAAAGACTAGAATTGGAGAGATCTTTTCTTGCTTATGACATGAGAAACACTGATTCATACTCTTTTTACTTACTGTTCTTTCTGCCTTGAAATACTTTTCCTTCGGATATCTTCTTTTTCTCATCTCCCTGAATCTTTGCTCAATGCTTGCTTCTTCTTGAAGCTTTCTCTAACCTCTGTATTTAAAGTGCGGTCACCCTTCCCAACACTCTCTATCCCCCTTTCCGCGTAGTTTCTCTCCCTCATGTTTGTCACCTTGTGACATACTGTGTTTTAATTATTCCTTTGTGTTCTGAGAGGTTAGGGGTTTTCCTGTTTTGTTTTTTGCTATATTCCCACAGCCTGGAATGATGTCTGACTCAAAACAGGATACTCGTTTTATTGAGTGAATAACAGAATAGAGAATTTCCAGTATATTCTGTAAATCCTGCAGAGTTTCCTACTTTAGTCATGGATACTTAGTGAATATTAATGATTGATGATTGATAGAGTACAAATTGAAGGCTTAGATTCTGGAAGTAGACTACTGAGAGGTTCAAGTTCCACGCCCCCCCCAGACCTGTCTGTGTCTGGTTTTTTTCATTTTTAAGATGGAAATACTAATAGCACCCACATCATAAAGTTGTGAGGATTAGATGAGTTAATAAATACTCAGAACATGCCAAGCCCATTGATACCCAACATTAGTAATTGGTGATAATTAGCTTAATCTAAGGAAAGGAGGGCAACGAGGTCATATACTTTATTATTGACATATTTATTTAGGACCTACTATTGTTCCAGGCATTGTGGAACATAGGGGATAAGACAGGTTCCTACCTTAATTGGGAAGGCATTCATAGAGACTCTTGTTTCACAAGGTCACAGTTTATTGAAGGGGAAAGAGTTGTAGTATGATATGCTCTTTCATAACAACCATCTTCTGATTTACATACATCTGTTTGGTAAAGTCAGTAACTTTTTCTGTCTTCACAGAGTTTATGGTCAAGTTGGGGAGAAAACAAGTCAATATCTTTATGGCTTTATTATCTAAAATAACTTTATAATTAGGTATTACAAATAAAATGGAAAACGGGGTAATAATTTTCTGGCTTTGAGATAGAAATGGGAAGTTTCATATCTGAATCTTATTTTAAACATCCTTTGTAATCTAAAATTTCTAAATATATTCTAACTTTTCCTTCACATTAGATTATACCATATTACTTTTATTTAATTACAGTTATTCAGAATAATAGATCACCAAGATGGAGAAGAACTTCTAGCAGAAAGGTAGATATGAGAGCATAATGACTTTATCTGGAGTAGAACCTGCTGATTTTACCATCCTTTTAAAGCTCATTTTCCTTATGGAATATCCATAATTATGTTTGACCTCCTATGAAGGCTATAGTACTTGTGGGCTCATATATAATTATGATTAAAAACATTACTAATACTTTTGTGCCAGCAATAATTATTTATTTAGCATTTGTAAATTCACATGATCTAGACTGACCAAATACACATATTTTTAACTCCTGTAACTAGTATGTAATTAATGAAGTACTTCATAACTGCAGATATGCACAGATAAAGATATTTTTTAAATGCTAAAAAGGGTAGGGGCGCCTGAGTGGCTCAGTCGGTTGGGTGTCCAACTCTTGGTTTTGGCTCAGGTCCTGATTTCATGGGTCATGGGAGTCTGCTTCGATATTCACTCCCTCTGGCCCTCTCCCTGCTTGCGCTCTCTCCCTTTCTCTCTTTGTCTCTCTCATTTTCTCTCAAATAAATAAATCCTTTTCTTTTAAGGTAAAAATGCTAAGAAGTAATAATGCCTTAGTGTACATTTTTAGTTAATTACAGTTGACCCCTGAACAATGCGGGGGTTAGAGACCCCTGCCTCCTTCCCCTATGCAGTTAAAAAAATCCATGTATAACTTGATTCCCCAAAAACTTAACTACTAATAGTCTATTGTTGACTGGAAGCCTTAGTGATGACATACACAGTTGATGAACACATATTTTGTATGCTTTTGTATGCTTTATGAATAACATACTGTCTTCTTACAGTAAAGTAAGCTAGATATTAAGAAAATCATAAATTTTATTATCTACAGTACTTCTCAGTTCTCCTTATTTGATACTATCTACAAAACTGTTCATAATTTTAAGTGAACAAAAACAGATTGCAGAATAATATGTCTCATTTTGTTTAATGTGTGTGTGTATGTATTTAAGTAAAAGAATATACACCAACCCTTAACATTGGTTACCTTTGCAAATACTTATAATAGCCTCTCTTTTATAAAGAACATTAATATTGTTACTCTTTTCCTTTTTCAGAATCTGATATTGATGCTGCCACTGCAATGATGCTTTTAAATACTTCTCTAGAACAAGGCATTTTAGAATGTAAGCAATCATCCCATTCTTCCTAAAATACATTTTTGTGAGTGCTTTATCAAATGTAATTTAGAATGCAAAATATTTAAATATTATAGGCAAAATTGTTTTTTCCAACTAAGTTATGTTTTCTTTTGAATTACTTAGTTTCTATTTTATTATATTTCCATTAATATATGTGAGCAGTTATGAGATTGAAGTTAATACTGTGATAGATATTTTTACATGGACCAAGAAACAAAGAAATAATAACACGTATAGAAATTAAGGTTGAGAATTTAAAAGTAAAAATGAAAGCCATAAATAAGAAAATATAGGAAAATATATTTATAACCTTGGAATTGGAAAACCCTTCAGATACAAAGTGCAAAATCCATAAAAGAAAACATAGGTAAATTTAATTAAACATCAAAATTTTGTAGTTCTGACAATAAAAAATATATATAAGAAAAGTCACACAAGGAAAACACTGAGAACATTTTTTTACTATGTATATAACAAACAAATGGTTAATATTGAGTATATGTATATAAAAGGACGCTACAAGTAAGAAATAAGAAAAATGTTCAGAAAAGCCAAGAAAATACATGAATTAGGTGGGCTCAGGGAAGGAAATAAAGTGAACAATACACATTTGAAAAGATAGGCAACTTCTCTAGAAGACAGGGAAATGCAAAATGAAACAATATTGAGATACTACCTTTTTTTGTCCATGAGATCATGAAAAATTAAAATGATTGATAATATTAGGTGTTAATTGTGGGAACTGGATATTGTCATACACTGTAAGATGTAAATTAGTACAACCATTTTGGAACACAATTTGAAAATACAGCTACAAATGCAAAGCAAAACCACAGTGAGATCTCATGCCAGTCAGAATGTCTAGTATCAAAAAGACAAGAAATGACAAGTGTTGATGAGAATGTAGAGAAAAGGGAACCTACTGTTGGTGGGAATGTGAATTGGTGCAGCCACTGTGAAAAACAGTATGGAGGTTCCTCAAAAAACTAAAAATAGAAGTACCATACTATCCTGTAATTCCACCTCTGGATATTTACCTGAGGAAAATAAAAACACTTAATTCGAAAAGATACATGCACCCCTGTGTTTATTGCAGCATTATTTGCATAACCAAGATAGGGAAGCAAACAACCTCTGTCCATCAGTAGATGAGTGGATAAAGATGTGATATATATACACAATGGAATATTACTCCGCCATAAAAAAAGAATGAAATCTTGCCATTCTTGACAACATAAATGGACCTAGAGAGTTTTATGCTAAGTGAAATAAGCCAGAGAAAGACAAATTCCATATGATTTCACTCATATGGAATCTAAAAAACAACAAATGAACAAACAAAAAACAAATGGACACCTGGATGGCTCAGTCCATTAAGTGCCTGACTCTTGATTTTGGCTCAGGTCATGATCTCAGGGTCGTGAGATGGAGCCCTGAGATGAGGCTCCATGTTCAGTGCAGAGTGTGCTTGTCCCTCTCCCTCCCCATCTGCCCGTCTCCTCACTTGTTCTCTCTCTCTCAAATAAATAAAAATCTTAAAAAAAACAAAAAACAAAAAATGGGCACCTGGGTGGCTCAGTCAGTTAAGCATCTGCCTTTGGCTCAGGTCATGATCCCAGAGTCCTAGGGCCTGCTTCTCCCTCTGCCTGTCGCTCCCCGCACTCTCTCTGTTAAATAAATGAGTAGAATCTTAAAAAAAAAAAACAAACCAGACTTATAAATACAGAGAACAAACTGGTGGTTGCCAGGGGGAAGGAGGGTGGGGGGATGAGTGAAATAAGTAAAGGCAATTAAGAGGTTACAAATTTCCAGTTAAAAAATAAATCACAGGGGGTTAAAAAGTACAGCATAGGGAATATAGTCAATAATATTGTAATAACTATATGGTGACTACACAAGGTGAGCATTACATAATGTATATAGAATTATCAAATCGCTATGTTGTACTCCTAAAACTAATATAAGATTGTATGTAAACTATACTTCAGTTAAAAAAAAAAAACAATTATAATTTGAAATGTATATATTCTTTTACTTAATAATTCTGTTTCTTGGTATTCTAGAATATTTGCATATGTGTAAGAAGAAGCGTCTAGAATGATTTTCATTGCAATATTATTCACAGTACTGAAAAATTGGGAAAACCTAAATATCAATAAGAAAATGGTTAGCTCAACAGTGGCACATTCCTATTGAAGCATTCTGTACGAACAGCTCAAAACAATTATATTTTTCATGGAAAGGTCAAGACATATCATTAAGTGATTTTAAAATATTTCAAGTTAATACCTACAGGATGATATGTGGTCTAAGTAAAAAAAGAAACAAGTGAACAAAAACCTACAGAACATTACTAACCCTAAAGCACTTAACTACTCAGTAGTGATATAGTAGTTTAAATGGCCTTTTCTTGCAATCGAATGCATTTGACCTATTGATGGAAGTTTTCTTTTCCACAGGTGAGAAGCCTCTTCCTCTTAAAACAGCAATGCAAAAAAAGAGGAGTTATGGCAATGCATTTAATCATCCCAGTAGTGTGCGATTGCAAGAGAGTGATTCTTTGGCCACAAGCATTGATCCAAAAGAAGACCACAATTACAGTGCAAGCAGCATGGCAGCACAGCGCTGTGCGTCCAGGTCTAGTGTGTCTTCTCTGTCCTCTGTGGATGAGGCATATGAATTTATCCCAAAGAGCAGCCATGTGGGAAGTGATGGCAGTGAAGGATTTCACAGTGAAGAAGATACAGATGTTGATTATGAAGATGATCCTCTTGGAGACAGTGGCTATGCATCACAGGCTTGTGCAGATGCCTCTGAAAAAGGGCAGCCAGGCAAAAAGATGCGCAAACAGTTATGTCAAGAAATTGATGAGGAGCTCAAAGAGGCAGCTGGATCTCTGCTCCACCTTGCTGGAATCCGAACATGTCTGGGTTCCCTAATAAGTACTGCGAAGACACAAAATCAAAAGCAGCGGAAAAAATAGAAATACTTATTAGTGTGAAATTATTTTAAAGTGTGGCAATACTCTTCTACTTAATTCTTTACAAGGGATATCAAAGCCATAATGGACTTCTTTTGTTTTAGGGTGGGGGAGGGGTGCTAATTACTTGTTTATTTCACAACATGTTTGTTTTAATTTTTATTAAATAATTGCTGTTAGGATCATGCCCAACCATAGATACGCTGCCAAGTCCTAAAAGCATAATATTTGTGATAAGTGTGTCTAAGATTTGGAAATTTTTATATAAGAAAATCCACAGCCTGTGTCTTAAAACTTGTAGGAAAAATCTTTTATTCTGTTTATGTGTTAAAGTGTAAGAATTGGCAACTCTGTAACTTTTTTTCATTTTCTTTTCCAATCATTTGTAATTAACTGTAGTTGCTGATCCAGCTAAAAATGTTGCTGATGTCTTTCTCACATACTTCTCTCTGGACACATGCAATCCAGTAGAATGAGATTTGGATTTTTTTATTTTGTCTTAATTTTAGTTTTTAATTATTTTTCGCTGAAGCGTGGACAAAGTTGAATATAAATTGGAAAAGGTCCTTTTGCTAAGTGAAAGCTCCTTTTGGCTACATAGGCAGGAAGTATAACAAAGAGTTCTGAAATTTAGAAAAGGCAGTTTTGTGGTAAAATTTCTAATAAGAACACTCCCAATTCCTATTATAATATTATCTTTGAATTTTTTTTACTTCCCAGATGTTGCATAACATTTATTGGGGCCTTTTGTTCATTCCCAAAGTGCTTTGCAACCATTGTTTGAATTTTAGCCACTAGCTGTCTTTGTTGAGTAAAAATAACCCAGTGAGAGAGGATATAGCCATAAAGTATGTTATGGAGTTAACACTCATTTTGACACACTTTTTGCAATAAGAGAATCTTTTATTTGTTGTTAAATGGACTGCATTCTGGGAATTTTGTAGTAGGAATGGAGTGTGACCTAATATAGACATTTTGAATACTTACTACTTATGTCCTCTTAAATAAAGATAGATCATTTAGGAAAAAACTTCTGTCCAAGGTTTGTATGAATTAAGTTTGTATGTATTCCTAATTAAATTTAAAAGGATTTAACAAAACTGTAGAAACCAAGTACCTTCATGAGTTTGAAAATTCATATAAAATTAAATCTTATACAGTACACCCTTTGGGGGAGGCATTATAATACGTATGTGCCATTTATTCCATGCTAAAAGATTTTATATTGCTGTTCCAAAGGTGCATTGACTAAGGCATTTTAAGCATTTGAACAAATCTGCTCTATGAGACATTTTTTCATATCATTTTTATAGTTTGACTATATTAATTTAGAAAGAACACAGGATACATTAGTAAAACTAAACTTATTATATATTTTTTTTTTACAGTGATAGAAGCAACTTTCCAAAAGTTCAGTCTTATCTCTTGGTGCATTCTGTTTTATAACAATGACCTTGTTTTCATTTTTCTGATAATTTCTATGTACATATACATACATACATAGGCTCATGATTTTGGTTGGTTACTTTCAGCTGTTTCTATGACTAAAGCATTTTCTTGGATTTTTTTTTAAGAGGTATTTTTATTTTAACTTGTAAATTTTATTTGGGCAAAACTGTTGAATGAGAAGCATAATGAAAACATCTTTTTCAATTGGCAAAACTTTAAGCCAGAGCCAGGGATAACAACATTAATATTATCTGTCCCGTTTCCATGTTAATTGTAATTGAACTTGGATAGCCACATTAATAGAATCAGTGCTGTTGAAATACAGTAATTTTTAAATTTGTTGATAATGAAAAATAGTTTTTAAGTATGCAGGATGAGGTATTTGGGATTGTTTTTTTTCTTCTTCATTTTTGTCACCTCTGCTACAGAAAATGGCTAATCCAAGTTAACACCTTTTACATGGACAGTGACTATAACACACCAAAAAATGCTTATACCACAGTATAAATAGTATACAGATTATAAAAATCATTTCAATAACAGTATCTTAAAGCTCTTTATGGTGGCCCTCTGGATAGACCTTAGTAACAGTGTGTTTCAGTGACCTGGTTCCAGTTTATTTTGTTCTACTGAAATTCTGTACCACAGATGTTCTCTCTGGTTCCTGTCCATTAGATAATTACTCTTTGTAAGCAGAGGAGGATGATTTAAGATAAGGAGGGGGAGAGTTGTTCCCCCTTTAAGAGGGATCTTCAAAATTATTTTGGCTTAATATAAATAACAATAATTCTTTAAACTTAATATTCTCTCCCTCTTCAAATTTAAAAGTTTAAATGCATCACTAGCAAAGACAATGAATGCTTTCATACTAAAAGCTAATGGGAAGAAGTCATATGGTATTTTACACTTAATATACAGAATTCAGTGCATCACTTTTTCCATTTGCTGATTTACTGAGGCAGTTGTTTTCAAGGGGAAGTACTTTTTTAATTATGATTCCCCCATTATTACTTTCATAGATATTATGATCCCATTCGTCAGGTGTGTTGAGATAAATAACCACCCAATTAAGGAAAGTCATTTCAAGTCCTATGGACTGGAAATTGTATTTCTGATAATATATTAATAAGAAATTATACTGTAATAGAAACAGTTTGGCAATTCCAGAGAGGTTATATATGTTCCAGCATATTTTAAGACTGTGATTTAAGCTAACATAATTTGCCTTACATCAATATAAATTGTTACAACCGATTCTAGTTTACAATAGATTTCTAGTGAAGTTTTGAGTCAGCACAATTAATCTTCATCTTTCCCATCCCAAATAGAATCAGTGTTTCTTGAATATAGATTTTTGAAATTTATTTGTGCAATATATTACTAGATTCATTAATATTTTATTTTACCTTTCAAATTCAGAGAAAGAAAACATTACTTGTATTCATGGAAAAGCTAATTATTGGTGGATTGCCTCCTTTTTTCCACCTTTGAGCCTTTCCTTTCCTCCCTATAGCCAGCATGACTTCTCTTAACTTAGATTCCCCTGTATATAGTAAGGCTTAGAATATATATATATATTTTTTTTGCTACTTTCTGAGGCATTATGTAAAAGGTTCATATTAGGTGGTCAGTTAAATATATGTAAGCACGAATTCAAAGGTAGAGAAAGTGTTGAGGGAATGTGTGTGTCTTCGTAGACCAGGAGGCTTTTCCTAGCAGTTTAATCAACAGATGTGAATAATTCACAAAGCTGTAAAGACTTTTGTCTTAAATACTTACAGTAACTTAACAACCATTTGTGAAGACCACACATTTAATTAAAGGCTTTCTGGTTTACATATACTTTACAGTTGTTTTTTTTTTGTTGTTAGTTTGAAATGTGTAAGCTTTGATTTAAAGTTTACTTCACTATATTAATGATGTACTCAAAGTATTTATTGAAAGACAAAGTAGAGTATTTTAATGTTATACCTGCCATTTTTTCTTAAAGCACATTTATTTCTGCATCTAACTGCCATTGCCATTGTTGTACATTTCTTATTAAACTAAGTGCTTAATTTTAAGTATTATGTTGTCATCATATAGTGTATAAAAATGTATAATTGCCAATTCACTGTAACTACTATTTATTTTTAAATGAAAGTGTAAGAATGCTTTCTGATTCAAGAAATTTGAGTTATTAAACTGGTTTCCTTATCCTCTTTTCTAATGTAGCATAAAAATTGCCCTGAGTTTGAGTTATAACTGCCAGTAGATGACCAGTCACAAGTGAACCACTTCTCAGTTGCCAGTCTTTGTTCATATTAAAAGCAGCCTAACAGATATTTAGTTTTTGTATCTAATCTCTGATGATTAAAGTGTTTATAAAGTTTATTTTTACCAAAGAAATGCAATTCATTATGATAAAGTATTGCAGAATAAACCTTGTTTTATAACATTGGTGTACTTTCTCTGTCCTTTTGGGGTGGGTAGTGTAGATGTAAGTGGCTCATACTTACACATACACATGCCCTTTCCCTTTTGGTGTTACAAAGTTGAAGTCATACAAATGAAAAATAAAGTTTCAATTTCAGAATTTTTAAAAGTCAAAAGTATTGTTTTTCCTGGTTTTTACAAGCCATTTTAATCATTTTGAAAGCTAAAATAGTGTTAATTACATTATTCTCTTCCTGAAGATGAACTTCTTTTCCTGTGCATATATATATATGGGATATTTTGAAATGTAAGAAAAATTGAGCAGATTATGAAATTAAGATTATTTCTAAATATAGTAGTTGTTACTTCAACAATTCCCAGTAGTACCATGTGTTTAAAAATTGGGGCATCCATTATAAAATGAAATAATCTACAACCAATATCTTAATTTTATTTTATTTTTTTAATTTTTTTAAAGATTTAATTTATTTGACAAAGAGAGATAGTGAGAGCAGGAGCACAAGCAGTGGGAGAGGGAGAAGCAGGGAGCCCGATGCGGGGCTCGATCCCAGGGCCCCAGGATCATGACCTGAGCCGAAGGCAGACGCTTAACGACTGAGCCACCCAGGCGCCCCCCAATATCTTAATTTTAATCCCCCCACCCCCCACTTCCCTTTGAAATTCTGTGCCGGTAATTTAAATGGTATTAGCTATGTAGAGTTGTTTTTTTAAAAGGAGTCAAATGAGACAGCCATATTGATTTAAACTACCACGTTCTCTAAGCCCTAACTCCTTCCAAAGCACCTTTTTGATAGACAGAATTTTACCAAACATAGGTATTTGCAACTCATGTATTTATTCCTTAAGAGTTTTATTCTCGGGCGCCTGGGTGGCTCAGTTGGTTAAGCGACTGCCTTCGGCTCAGGTCATGATCCTGGAGTCCCAGGATCGAGTCCTGCATCAGGCTCCCTGCTCAGCAGGGAGTCTGCTTCTCCCTCTGACCCTCCCCCCTTCTCATGTGCTCTCTCTCTCTCAAATAAATAAATAAAATCTTAAAAAAAAATTTTATTCTCACTATTGCATTCATCTAGCTCATACTAGTTCTGAAGGGGGAAGAAATATATACCATTTTTAGAGAAATAACTTACTAAAATATGGGTTAAAACATTTAGTCTTTCCCTCAAGAATTTCGGGACATGCTAATTTGCTAGCTGTTTTTTTTTAACCAGAAATAAAGCTTGCAAAAATTTAAACTGTTGAAAATCTTTAAGAATGAAAACAATTATTAATCTTAGTGTTACTATGTTTCATGAAAAAAAATTTTTTTTTTAAAGATTTTATTTATTTGACAGAGAGAGACACAGCGAGAGAGGGAACACAAGCAGGGGGAATGGGAGAGGGAGAAGCAGGCTTCCCGCGGAGCAGGGAGCCCGATGCGGGGCTCGATCCCAGGACCCCGGGATCATGACCTGAGCCGAAGGCAGACGCTTAACGACTGAGCCACCCAGGCGTTCCCTCATGAAATCTTAAATAGAGAACTGTTAGAAGCTGTCAGCTGCAAATTGAAATAGCCATGTGTTACACATGTGTTTGATAGTTGTGTTCCAAAAGTTTGTTTACAAACGCATTCTTGGAGGAGGCATTTTTCAGTGAACTCAAGGCAAGTTAGGAAGCCTTATTTACCTCATAATGTAGTGGATAAACAACCCCTTTTTAACTAAAAGTGATTCTTACACAAAATTTTTGTATAAATGGATTTACTTCCATTATAGATTTTCCTCAACTTTGAGATTTTGGTTCAAGTAAATACTTAGAAATCAATCTTGTGGGGAAAATTTAATAAAAGCAGAAACTAGCAATTGGACAGAAAGGAGACATTGTAGAGAATATTAACGTAGGGGAGATTTTAGAACCCAAGAGTTCTTTTTTTTTTTAAGATTTTATTTATTTTTGGAGGGGGGGGCATGGTGCTCCATGCAGGGCTCCAGGCAGGGCTTGATTCCAGGACCCCAAGACTATGGACCTGAGCTGAAACCAAGAGTTGGTCAGCTCAACCAACTGAGCCACCCAGGCGCCTCTAATGGCTGAGGATTCTTTTTTTAAGGTTTTTTTCTTCGATTTTATTAATTTGAAAGAGGGAGTGCCCGGTAGGGGAGCTGGGCAGAGGGAGAGAAAAGCCAACTCCACGCTGAAAGCAGCACAATGCGAGACTCCATCCCACAACCCTGAGATCATGACCTGAGCCAAAACCAAGAGTCCAACGCTTAACCGACTGAGCCACACAGGCACCCCAATGGTCGAGAATTCTTAAATGGAGACTGCAGCCATATAAAGTACTCTGCAGTGTAACTAAATTTATATGGTGATCTTGTATATCAGGAAAGGAATTGAGAAAAAATTCCACACCCTTGGTAAACTGAGCATTTTTTCAATCAGGTATTTCAGTGCCTAATCCCAAGCATTGAGCTTTAATTGTTGGATATACAATATGCACTAAGAAGTAAAAATAGACAATCTCTCTCCAAAAAAATGTAAATGCAATTATGAATTGTGATGATTGCCATGAAAGAAAGGGATAGGGAGCTATGAAAACATTTAATCTAGGGTTTAGGGGAGGCTACCATGAAGAATGTGATTTAAGCTGAGATCTAGAAGAAACAGGTATTGGAACTGAAAGCATAGTTTATTGTTCTGGGCAAGGGCAACAGCAATCACTGAGATCCTGGGATAGAAGAGAACAGGAGATTTTTGGTGAACTAAAAGGCTAATAGTGTGGCCACAAAGGAAAAGAGCTGGCGCCAGGTCCTGCAAAGCCATGTAAAAGATTTGGGCTTCTAAGAACCTTAGGGAAACTATTGAGGGTGTAGGCATTTAAGAAATCACCCTGATATGTTGACTTGCAGCCATAATTGAGTGACAGGACCAAACTTAAGCTCCTCTGTAAACAACCAGAAAACTGGACAGTATATGAAAAAAAAAAGTATGAAACATTTTTTGACAAGATCAGTTAGAGTGATATACCTCTAGCCAGATTAATTAATGGGAAAAAAGGAGGACCCAAATTAGCAAAATCAGAAATGAAATGAGACATAAGGACAGATCCTATAGATATTAAAAGGACAACAAAACTTTATTAAGAACTTAATGCCAATAAATTCAACAATTTAGATGAAATTAACAAATTTCTTTTTTTAAGATTTTTTATTTATTTATTTGAGAGAGAGAGAGCGTGAGAGGGGGTAGGGTCAGAGGGAGAAGCAGACTCCCTGCCGAGCAAGGAGCCTGATGCGGGACTCGATTCTGGGACTCCAGGATCATGACCTGAGCCAAAGGCAGTCGCTTAACCAACTGAGCCACCCAGGCGCCCTAAATTAACAAATTTCTTAAAAGATATTGTAAATTACCAAACTTAAATCAAGAAGAAATAGAAATCTAAATAATCGTGTACTTATTTGTAATTGAGTTAATAATTATTAGTAATTAAAACTACAACAAGATGCAACAGCAAAAGCACAACCAATGAAAGAAAAAATTGGTAAGTTGGACTTCACTAAAATTAAAAACTTAGGTTCTGTGATCACGTTATTGTCAAGAAAATGGAAAGACAAGCTACAGCTTGGGGGAAAATATTTGCAAAGCACATAATAATAAAGAACTGGTATCAAAAATACATAAAAAGCTCTTAAAAATCAACAATAAGAAAACAACACAATTTAAAAATGAGAAAAATATCTGGACACTTCACCAAAGAAGATAAACAGATGGCAAATAAACATATGCAAAGACAGTTCAACATCATGTCATTAGGGAAATTAAAACATTAAGATATCACCACACACCTATTAAAATGGCTAAAGTGCAAAACACTGACAAGAGCGTGGAGTAACAGGAACTCATTCATTTCTTCTGGGAATGCAAGATACTGCCACTTTGGAAGAAAGGTTGGTGGCTTCCTACAAAATAAACATACTCTTACTGTATGATCCAGCAGTTATGCTCCATGGCATTTCCCCAAATGAGTTCCCCAATTTCCCCTGCACACAATTCTTTTTTTTTTTTTTTAAGATTTTATTTATTTATTTGAGAGAGAGAGCGCGAAAGAGAGAGTGCACAAGCAGGGGGGAGAGGGAGAAGCAGGCTTCCTGCTGAGCTGGGAGCCCAACATGGGGCTTGATCCCAGGACCCTGGGACCATGACCTGAGTTGAAGGCAGATGCTTAACCAACTGAGCCACCCAGGCGCCCCCCTGCACACAACTCTTATAGAAGCTTTATTCATGGGGCGCCTGGGTAGTTTAGTTGGTTAAGCATCCAACTTGATTTCAGCACAGGTCATGATCTCAGGGTTGTGAGATCGAGCCCCACATCAGGATCCATTCTTGGCGGGGAGTCTGCTTCTCTCTCTCTGTCTCTCCCTCTGCCCCTCCCCCAACTCGCATGTCTTCTTTCTCTCTCTCAAATAAGTAAATAAATCTTTTTAAAAAAGAAGTTTTATTCATAATTATTAAAAACTTAGAAGCAACCAAGATGTCCTTCAATATGTGAATGGGTAAACAAACTCTAGTATATATCCATGTATCTATATAAACTATAGTAATATCCATACAATGGAATATTATTCAGCCATAAAAAGAAATGAGCTATTAACATCTCTCCAAGGAAGATATACAAATGGACAACAAGCATGTGAAAAGATACTGAACATCACTAATTATTAGGTAAAATGTAGATCAAAACCAGAATGAGATACCACGTCACATCACATTAGGATGGTTAGTATTTAAAAAACTAAAAACAAAGTAACAAGTGTTGGCAAGGATGTGAAAAACCAGTACCCTTGTACATGTTGGTGGAAATGTGAAATGGTACAGTTCCTATGGAAAGTATATGGGAGTTCCTAAAGAAATAAAAAATATATATGATCCAGCAATTACACTTCTAGGCATATACCCCAAAGAAGTAAAAGCAAGGTCTCAAAGTAGTATTTGTATACCCATGTTCATCACAGCATTATTCACAATAGC